GTAGTGGGACTTGAGAGTTTCTTTGGTCTTGGTCCGGACCGGAACGGTGGGTTGGCTGTCGCTGGTTGGTGCTGGTCAGGTGTGCTAGAGCTTAGGATCAGCGTTAGCTCCCTATGGCCCTAGTTTACGTTACTGACCAGTGTGACGTCACGTACGAAATGGTCTTGCAAAAAGCTCTACGTCACGAGTAGCGTGCCGTGAGCAAAATTCAAAAAACAATATGACTCACTACGAGTCTTATAGCACGGGGAAGTTTCCCACGTGTTCTGATTGGTCAGAATTTTATGGAAAATAACCACGCTGACGTCACGCGACTTTTCGCAAAATTTTCCGGCTGGACAAAATGGCGGTTGTTTTTCGCCGATAATTCGGTAAAAATCAAGGAAAATTTTCTCGAGAGTTCTGTTTTATTTTTCTTATACAGAATTTCACGAGGAATCCAAAAATGCTAATTTCAAGCAAATCGGATGAACGGTTGAAAAGTTATGAAGGTTTTAGTTAGGTTCTACGCAGAAACCTCGAAATTTCAAAAGTTCCACGGAAACCTACGACGCCACAGCAGGTCTTACCGGTCGGTGATCGTTCCAAACTGCTGCTCCGTCGTTCCCCTTCACCCTTTTCTACCGTAAGGGCCGCAGCGCACCCGATAGGGCGTAATGGTGTAACAGGACCGTACCGAGCGCAGTTTTTGCGCCGGGAGCCAAAGCTGCGGGAGGCCTACTTTTAGGCGCTGACCCGTATCAACGCAACCCGGTAGGGCGCTTAGTTGGACAACTGGGACGTACCGAACGCAGTTTTTGCGCCGGGAGCCAAAGCTGCGGGGGACCTACTTTTAGGCGCCGACCCGTATGAATAATCCGTCGCGCTGCAGACTTCCAGTGAAGTCTGTATGATGCAGGAGATGATGGTCGCGGGTTTGCTGGCCTACTTATAGGCAATCAGCGTAGTTCGACCGTGTTGCCTTCACTGGGGATCAGAGGTCTCGTCGGAAAGAAAACCGAACGATGCTGCTACCATGTCAGATCAGACACAGAAGCAGGAAGAAATGGGGCAAATACAGCCTTTATTGTGATAACAATAAAGCAACAACACACAAAAACCAACAGAAAACCCAATGCGGGAAAAGCTGGAAAAAGTGCCTGCAGTGCGCTGGTGAGGAATCGTGATTAATGATTCCGCGTGCTGCGGGTATGCAACAGCTGATGCGGCAAAGCATGGAATTGCCCGTAGGCGCAGGGCTCCACCCCCAAGAGTGCAGAGAAATGCGCTGATTGGTCAGCGTAGACAAAGTATACGCTGAGTAAGCAGCGTAATAGCGCGGCACGAATGGAGTAGCCATGTGCGGGCGGGCGACAGAGCAAAGCCGCGAGAGGTGTCTACCGCCTCGAGTGAGCGGTCTCTGACATACCATTGAAAAAAATCCAAAAATTAAACTGAAAAAAATGCTCAAATAAAATAATGCTGTTTACAAACTGAACTGACTGATATTATACAGTAAGTAATTCAATTAAAAGAAACAAATAAATTAGAAAATGGAATGAATAAAAAAGTGAGTGTTTCTTCTCAACCGTGGAGTGATCAGTGTGGTTTGTAAATTTGTCCATATACATCTGCTTCTTTTAATTTGACTCTATATATTTGGATTTGCCTATGTGTAAGCTGCTTCTGTGGACATGACACCGAGCATCGCCACGAATCCGTCCACCTACGCTTTGGAAGAAGCGGGCAAACCTATCGTCAGCCATCTGCGCGACTGGTACGGGACCGTGGCTGCCGTTATCGAGATATTGGAAGAGAAATTCAAGAAAACCGGCGACACTGGCGAAGGCAACGCGGAAACGGATAGCGGTCAAACCTCCGCGGTGTTCGCCCCAGAAATCGCTGTTTTCACTGGCGATCGAAGAAAACCCGCCGTCTGATACCGCTGCCGGTGACGACTGTCCGCGCGGGGTGAGTGGCTCAAGCGTTGAAGCTGTGGAGCAGCACGACACAGTGGTGGTCGTGGCTGGTGAAAAGGCCGCGGAACCGAGCTGAGTCGTCGGGAAATCTTGCCACACTGCTAGCTGATAGAGGAGAGAAACGAGCGCTCGGGGAAGCGGAGACAGCGGAAGGGGCGCGTCCCAGGAAAATGGCAGCTAGCGGTACGTCGAACAGCGACAATGACGTTAATCCATCGGAAGCGCACAGCAGAAGTCGGGATATCTGGTGCGAAGAGGGCGTGTAGCGCAACAGGGACGGCAGTGAGCGCTACCGCGGCTCGGTGCGGGAACTGGTTGAGGAGCCGCCGCCCACAATGGCAGTCTTCACCGACTACGTCCTCGACCTGCGCACTGCGCGCCCCCTGAATAATTGCAGCGGGTATTGCAGGGGTGTGGTATACAGTGATCGCGCCACTTGTCTTCCTTTACAGCCTTTTTCTTTCTTGTTTTTTGTCTTGATCTGTTCCATGAATTCATTCCCTTTCAGTTGTGCTGCTCACAATGTAGGCAATAAATTAACTGCAAATTCATTTGCGGAGTTGTGGTATCTTGTGAATTCTTGCTGTCATACTTTTGTACATTGTTGCTGACGTCCTAGCAATTTCCTGGTGTACTTACCTCGTGTTGTACTTGTTCCTGATAATTATTATTCAGTCGTTCTGCTGAAAAGCCAGCGTCATGTTGTATTATTAAAGTTACTAATTATTATGCGTACTTATACTCGTACATACTTCACAGGAGTGTTTTTAACGAATTAATCGAATGCCGGTACCATAAATGAGAGAAAATTCCATGTACAGGGTAGATTAGGAGTGCGCGACAGCGAAAGTTCCCGTGTATGTACCCGAATTCGGTACCATGTACCAGGCCAAATCCCTTAATTCACTTAATAATTTGGGTTATGCGGTTACAGAATACTAGTAATCGTCCTCATTTGTTGCCGGTATCATGTTGCTGAACTACCGATTCCCATCCTTGCGCTATTCAATAAATGCCAAGGGTCTTGCTTTCCTTTCAATTGCTTTTCTAGTTAGATTTGTATTAGTTTTGGCTGTACAGGAAAAAGTGAAAATTTATCACTGCAACACAGTCAACAAGTACTGCAATACAGTGTTGCAAAGTCTACTCTACACATACAACTCATCTGGCTGAGAATTTATTCATCTTCATTTCTGAATTTTTGTCGACTCCACACACAGTGACACTTTTTGCATTGCTTTATGACATTTTATAGCCAATGGATTTGTATACGTAGGCATGAAATCCGTTTGCGCGCGCAAAATCCGGTTCGGGAGTTATTAGTGAAATACAATTCCAAAAGTTTAAACGCACGGAGGTGTACCAAAAGTCTCATTACGAACCGATGCTCTTCAAATTTTTCACGAAAACGCACATTACTATGGAGATCGTTTTGGAACCGAACCAGCGTTCTACCATTTTTTCAAATTTTAAATTAATTTTTAAACTTTTTTAAATTCATTTTAAAATTTCAAAAACATGCTGGAAAGCTGGTTCGGTACCAAAACGATCTTCATAGTATTGTGCGCTTTCGTGAAAAATTTGAAGAGCATCGGTTCATAATGAAACTTTTGGTACACCTCTGTGCGTTTAATTTTTGGAATTTTATTTTATTAATAAATCCCGAACCGAATGTTGCGCGCGCAAACGGATTTCATGCCTACGTATACAAATCCTTTGGCTATAAAATGTCATAAAGCAATGCAAAAAAATGTTTAGGAGTGCGCGACAGCGAAAGTTCCCGTGTATGTACCCGAATTCGGTACCATGTACCAGGCCAAATCCCTTAAGTTACAGTACCTTATATAATGGGCTACGCGACAAGTCGTCGAGGGGCATGTGGTTTCACGGATATTTCGTCTAAGGGCAACTCGTTTTTGTGACAGATAGTCATATGACTGTTCGTTCGTTCGACTGGTCCTTTCCTTAAATAATTTTCGGACTCTGCAAAACTCGCGCGACCAGATGTCACACAACAAAAAAGCGGCTGCAAAACGAGAAAACAAATTAGCCGCTGCGACGAGGGATGGATCAAGTTGTTTCGTACAAACTGTACAAACAAGTTCTATGGCAAGCACGAATAACCGTGTATTATCGGTTATCACAGTGCTGTGAATCGGTAATCGGTCAGCTGTGAATCGGTAACATTTACGTTGAGCATATTATGTGTTGGTCTTAAGTAATAAAGTCAGAAAGGCGGGCGCTAAATTAACACCGCTAATTAAACACGCAAAGAACAAACGGTTAGCCGGCGCTGTGTTTGCTTGGCAAACCACGAATAATATCGTTTGTTTTCAGTTAGTATGTCCTCAAAAGAAACAATCTTCTTTTAGTTTACCTACATGGTACCGAATTCGGGTCACCTATCTGTTCGCGCGCACTTTATGTACTTCTATTAGTTTAGTTTCACTTTAGTATTAAGTACCTATATAGATATTACTTCGCCAAATGGCTTAACTCGCTGACATAGATAATTCACTAATGCAAACTTTTTCTTGAACCTTTGAACATGTACCATACACTGCAAATTGATGCCCACAGGCTCACGTGATCCATATGCATCTTATGCAATGTAGTGATATACCAAACGCCTCATTAAGTACACTAACAATTGTACGTTACAGTTTACAAGCACTTTCGTGCAGTTACGAGAGCTTGATTCTTAATTTAGCAGGATGACAGCTTGAAACAGTACCGGGCGGTTGTAACCTACACCGCGATACTTGCATTCCATAGACTGCAAGCGGCTACTACAAATACATACAGGTGTTGTTAAGTGTCGATTACATAATTATTGGCCATGCTGAGAGCATGCATTAAAATGCGATACCACGCAATCAGAGACCAAAATCGAAAAAGGTAAGTACCGGCAGTTTGCGAACACTTTCCAACGCAGTTGCGGTGAATTGCCTGGAGCAGTAGCCCAAAAGAACAATGATTAACGGCACAAACAAAACAGACATAAATGGAACTGCAACGCCGTGACTGTTATGCCCTGACTGTTTTCCCCATTTTCAACCTGAATGGAAAACTGAGAACAAACATCCGGTTGTTGTTGTTGTGCTAATTATTCGATCAATCCGTGTTAAATTGTCTTGCCAGCTTTTGCAACGGCAGTTTTTATTATTTCTCGATTTTCCTCTAAAGTTGGATTCATGTTCTGTTTGTGGGTGTTGGGGTTCACTTCGCTGCTTGCTGTAATGGTAAGAAAAGCATAAACTTGGCCAGTTTCGCCGTTTCGTAATATAACAGGCATCGAACGTACGCCTCCATTCAACGTGCAAGTAAGGAAATCAGGTGTGCTTAGCTGCGTTTTACTGTAATACATAGGTGGAAGGGTATGAAACATCTGCCACCATGCCGGTAAAACACTACCTGGTGCCTGGTCATTTTAAACGGACACCAGGGTTAGAAAACGAATTTGTGAGCGACTACTACTGGTCCGAGGTCATAATACCTCATGGGACAGATTTTCGAGTGACCTGCCCACGAGAGAATTTCAATGCCCCGCCAACGGGATGGGATTTAGAAGCGGGGCCGAATGCGGGCAATATGGTAGGAATTATGGGTGGACGATACAGTTCCAACTTTGAGACATACGGCACGCCAGGATGCCCAGATACCTTAACAAGAGATTTGAGGCGACAGTGCTGGATGCATCAAGCTTGCACTATCTCCGCTCAAGATCCTTCCACGGACCCTTTCTGCTCCAAGCGACCACTACGGCTTCGTTACCGGTGTCTTAACGGTATATTATCTCAATGCTCACAAATTTCTTCTCGTGTTTGCAGAAGAACAGACTGCAGACATAAAATAGGACAGTAAACATTTCATATCGTGTACAGTAGCTGTAGGTAGAATCACAGATATATCCCGACTGAAGATTTTAGCGGTTTTACTGTAATAAAAAGGTTACTGTATTAAAAAGACAACTTTAAGAAATTCAACGATATAATGAACAATTCATATTTGTTGAGTTTTCGCGAAATTAAAACACAGTTTGAGAACTCGTCCCGCATAGTGGCATCAGAATTGTCAAGCCGGCAATGGGGCCGGCTACCGCCGACGCCTTTACGCTAAACTGGGTCCGGAAACTGTTACGTAATTTTGAGGAAATACAGCATGTGCAAACTGTTGTGATTTTTGTAGAGGGAAAGGCAGTACTTGTCACAACCATTATCGAATAACCTAGCCGGAAGGAACATGGCTTCTTATCAGCTATCCAGACCATGTGACTGTGTTTACCTGCTCCCGCTAGAATCTGCTCGCGCTAGTCCCTGTGGTTACACATGGCATGGTATCTCAGGTCGTCGTATTCAGCCAAAAGTAAAGATGCAGGATGCTTACCATTATTTGTGCTTATGTATTTTATTATTCGATCTGGCTTGATTTTACTGATGCCTAATTGACGGACTAATAACTCATGCAAGACTCTTAAGCTAAGTTTGTTGTGTTCCCTACCCAGCTGCCCTTGACAACTTCTGACGGAATGAACGAATATCAACAGACCGCTCCGGAAAGTTCTAGGTGTGAAGTAGTTCGCCGATACGCCGTTAAAGGTTGCGTATAAAGTTTCAGATAAAAGGAAGTTTCGAAAGTCGTGTTGCAAGCTTCACTCGCGCGGTGACGCTGATCATGACGAAAGGGTGTGTTCTTCGCAAGAATTACATATGAGTGAAGCTGGTGTGTGAGAATTCGAAAACTTGAGTACCCGTATCTGCCTATCTGAAATCACTTTGCAGTGCTTTATTTACGCTCGGTTAACAAGAAAATGAGATAAGATGCAATGATTGATAAGTTTCGTGACGTGAGAGCGTAGTCATCATGCACAGAACAAGCGGCTCCTTCGTCCATTCAACGCGTCTTGTGAACAGTTTTGCGAGTGCCTGTGTTTCGATTTGGATGATTACCACGCATCGGTATCGCGCACTTCCATTTATGCCTTATTTAGCTATTTCACATGGAAGCGTGGTTATTATTTGTTTATGAAACCATTCAACGAAGACTGTTGTATCGGTCTGAGGAGATAATTCAATCTCGTGGCATATTAGTACAGCATACAGTCTATGTAGATACTTGAAGTACTCGTATACGACATTATGATCCAGACTGTTGGACCAACAGAGCATTTGTCTTTCTACAAAATCGTGGTAATTGGAGATTCCAACGTCGGGAAGAATGCTCTCCTTGCTCGATTTGTTGATGAGGAATATGATTACCGGCAATTCCAAGTTACGATAGGTACTAGTACAGCAACTGCCGAAAGCGGAACAGAAAAATCCCACCACCGATCAGACTTTGTGATATCTATATAATAAAAATTATTTCTTTAGGAATAGAACTGAAATGGGCAGTCGTTGACCATGGAGGCGAAAAGATCAAACTGGAATTCTGGTCTGTCCCATCAATTATTTCTAATGAATCTTTAATTAATGTTAGAACACACTTGGATGTTTCCACATTCTAAATACTCGCACTATACAATCTTGCGTTCCGTTCTCTCGTAAATACGAACTCTCCGCGTTGTTCGACGTGACCAGACTTGTCCAAATTGGATAACCGATAATTACTGTAGTTATACAGCTTATACACAAGAATCCAAGACCTCAAAACATTATAATTCTCGTGATTTTTTTATGTAAGGCAGAATGTGCGGATATAATCTGCCAGTGTGCAGAATGAGAAAACATCGAAGTATGTCTTTTGCGCTTTACCGGTCAGCGTCAAAGCAAAAGTGCGAAACCGGGCAAACGTCTCAGCAACTTTGGCAGTGAACTTTAATGAATCAGTAAATACCGTTTTTGCTTCAGGGGTCCTGCAGGAACACATCGTGATCCCAATACCGTGGCACAATGTTGTCCTGGTGCTGACGGAGTAGTACTTGTGTACGACATTACAGACCGCCAGTCTTTTGAGAATATCGGTGTCTGGCTAAAGGACATCCAGAAAGTAAGAAGACATCTACTGACAAAATTATTTTACACTCAGCGATCGTTGATCAAAACTTTGTAACACATGATAGGACCTTCCCGAAAACGCCGAGCGGATGTTAGTGACCATGTTACTGGGAAATAAGTGTGATATGGAGGAGAAACGCATTATCAGCCAAAAAGATGGGGAAGGACGGGCCCGTCAGTTGGGGTGCCGGTTTAAGGAAGTCAGCGCGAAACACCACATCAATGTAAAGGCGGCGCTGGACGAGTTGGTTGCTGCTATATTAGAGCGTCGGAAGGGACGTACCGGCTCTTCCACATGTCAGAGATGCAGTGTCTCATAGCGATTCATGTGCAAAGAATCCTAATGGCTTCCCGACCAAAGATTTCAAAAGGTCCGGTTCGAAACCCATTCAGCAATTCCGCAACGAAGATATCTATTAGCAGGAAAAGTGCATTTCCTGCTGCAGTGGCAGCAAACGGCGCGCAATAAAATCATTGAACGTTTCCTGACGGTTGTTTTTCAGTCTTATTAGGTTACTTTTTTGTCTTTCATTTGGTCATAAAATAATTATTTGAAGGTTATTGCAGCAGTGCACAGTAACGACTAACGACCCTGTTCGAATTATAAATAAACGGAAAGACTTTTTGAGGTTTTCGACGGTGAAAATATTTTCCCGTCACACAACTACAGTATACTTATTTTTCTTGTCCGAAACTTATGTAGCCGTACTGATTTCAATATTGCGGATCACGACTATGGTCAGAAATCGAGCAGTAAATATTTCTCTGGACGTTTGCGCTCGTAAACGAGGCACAAATGCTGTCCGCAATTTTTCCCTTTCATCATAACTAAACCAGCTTAATCCAATTATCCGCTCTTTCTACTGAGAAAAGCTGCTGATAAACCGCCTCTAATCAAATCCAACACGTAACCATGCCTGGATTGTCACTTTTCCAGTTCGCACTTCGCAGGCAGCAAAGCAGCGGTGTACCGCACTTCCGTTGCGATATACCGTTGTACCGTTTGCTGTACTTCCTCAGCGATTTCCGTTTTTACTTTCCAGGCTTGGATTTTGCCGGTAAAGGTTGCAGAACGTGATGGAGGACCTTTGTGCGATTAGCCGAATTAATTCGTTACCTAAACTGCACAAGTCGATATATAGAAATGCACATATAGAAATTTTATCGGTCACGGATTCATTAGCAAAAATCCCGTCGCGAACGAAGAAATAAAGCTCTTCCACACGTCATGCGTTAATAAGTTATGGTGGAATCCGTTTCCTTCACGAGCCTGGCTTTTTAACAAATTTCTCAGGAAGCGCGAGCTGGCCTTGGAGAAATTACCGGTGGGATGGGAGTTTTCTCCGGAAGCACATTTGCGTGCTGCACTGTATCGATTACTTGTCGGTTGTTCTGTATAAAGCTTCCGACTTCAAACCGATACACGGCCATACCGTGATTTACGATATTCCGTTGTAACTGGATAGAGGAAAATGTCGTCCGACGCGGTGAGGTACGGTCACTCGGCCTTTGACGATGAACCGTTAGCCAATGGAACCATGGAAGCCGGCATCATCTACGGTCATATTTTGGACAATAATCCGCCATTGAAGTACTTCTTCGTTGCGGTATTAATTCTGCAGAGCATTTTCGGGACATGCGGAAATCTGCTGGTAAGTTGAGATCATTTAAGTTTTCATACGAGTACATCAGATTATACACTATATTTTATTACACAATATTATGCATTACAACATTATTATACATAATCTTTCCAAATTTATTTTAATTTATAATTATGATATCTTGTTTCATACGCCTGATTTATTCCTGTGCAATGGAAAGCCCGAAGAATAAAAAACAAAGAATTTTTTAACCATAAGGCTGATATCTAGCGTACTATAAGATATCCTGCATTACTATAAGAGGATTGTTCAACAACGTATTTAATATACAGTTTATTCAATTTGACAACATCGACAATTTAACTGCTGCCTCGGTTCGTATATTATTCGCATTCACATATTATTTCAGATCGTAATACTGTAATATTCGGATAGCTACTCGCTTTAGGTGCAAGTAACCATGCGAAAAATCGCAAATTACAGCGTTCGAGTCAATTACGTATTTCCGCTTAGAGCAGGTGCCACAAATAGCACAGCCGCCATTTGCAAATCTATGCAACAAAATGAGCACTCGCGGTCCTGCTACAGTATATACTCACTTTCCACAATAATAAACACAGGAAATCCCCATTTCTTTGCTCGTTGCTGTAAATAGAATGCGGATCGAATAGCAACAAGAGGGCAGTAATGCAAATACTGGGTTTGTTTTCCTGGCAGAGTCAGTACCGGTTGTCTGACCGTTGAGAAGGAATATCTGCTCTGTTATGTAGTGCTGCGTTGTAAAAGATGCACATACAGGTATTCACGCGACGCAACTTCCTGGGTTGTTTGTTCGGAGCAGTGCAAAGGAATAACAAGAACACGAAACCATTAGACGCAACCTAGACGCTCCAGGCACGATGCTACCCTAATTACGCACATGTAATGCATGAGTTTCCTGGCACAGCAGTCTTGTAAATTATGTGGTCGTCCTCAAACTGCGGTATGCCTACCATTTTTTTAATATTTACGGAGATCGCAAAATATAAGCGCTAATATCAATTAACGGCGAACAACAAAGCGGAAATCAGCAAAACGTGCAGCATATTAGCGTGTATCTCGTGGGAATTTTCGGGGAACCCTTGGCCAAAATTTTATAAAGAAAAAGTATTGTCAACAAGGGAAACTGATTTCTGTCATCGTACATAGCATTATTCAATATTACTCATCAAGTTTTCTTGTATAATATTATTACTGTATGTATATTATTTGTATGTGTTGTATTGTACGAGATATTTGTATGCGCTGTATCTGTATATAATTATTCATCAAGTTTTGTGTGTCATGTGTGTATTATGTGTTTGGCGTTCCTGTAAATTATCCATGGTTCTGGTAGTACATTATGAGCCCATGCTGTACAATCTGCTGTAATAATTACTTTTAACAAAAGCCGATGACTGCCTAGATCATTGGAGCTGTTTTCGCAATCGACGCCCTACGGCATACCGGCAATTTCTTCATCATCAATTTGGCCATCGCTGACCTGTGCATCACCGCAGTCGCACAGCCCTCCAACGTTTTTGGTAATCAACAATAAAAATATTTTATTGGAAGGCTGCGATAAGGTGTATGCTATAAAAGAAAATGATAGTCTTGATTTACCTACACCATTCGTTGAGAGAGACAAACTTGGATTACGTAGGGAAAACATTTTATTTATACAGCAAAATTTATTCTTTTCAATCAAGCTATGTTTGCCTGTATCATCAATACATACTCTGGATATAGAATACAGTATAAAACGACTTTGTTGTTTCAAGCTGACCCGTAACCAGAGTTCCAGCGGAAATTTTCCAGAAGTTAAACTATAGCATTGTATGAGAAAGTTTCTCCAAGGTTCAGTAACTAGCGTCGGCAGTGAAAAGACTTTAGTAACTGTATTCCGATAATTCTGTGAGCACCAAAAAGTTTGACTCAGGGCAAATTCTAGTTCATCGGTTTATGCACAAGGATTATTTGTTGAATTGCCTGTCAAATAAAGTATAAGCCATCCTGAATTTGCTTGCAAAATTTTTAATTCTTAGTTAAACTAGCGGTACGCACGGCGGAGCACGAATTAGAAAACACTAGGTATCCGAAGTAAACGTCGGAATTTTACACGTTCACATTCACAACGGTCTTTTCCTTGCATTACTTAGTCTACACCTTGTGACCAGATTATTATTTCGACTGTTCACTAGTTTGACGAATTTTTGTGTGAAATGTAATTAGTGCTTTGTTCCATAGGAGCGTTATACGGAGAAAGCTTTTTTGCTCCACGACAGGCTTACTGCTCCGGTAAGTCTGTGTTTCTCCACTGTTAACAGTGCAGCTGTTGCTATAATTAGGCCAATGCTCAAGCCGACCTGTGACCTTTGCTTAGAAAACCTAAGGAAACGTACGTTACATAAGAAATATTAAACGACACGGCGTATGTGTACGTCGAACAGCACACTTATCTCTATAGGTTAAATTACACTCACTTCTGTATAACCGAGACAAAATCCACACCCAGTTATTAAAGAAAATATCTACTATACCATAGAACTACATCGTCATGTAAAATACTCTGATTAACTTGGTTTCTAGCCGTTTCCACACTGTGTGCTACCGGTTGCCTATCATCCTGCTGGAACATGATGATGATCAGCATCAACCGGTGGGCGAAATTCATTATCCTTTTAAATAAATCCATTCTAGGAGATATTAAAATTGCATTACTTATTGAACATTAATTATGGATGGATGATACAGGTACACCCTCATCTGCAAATGGCCATATTATGAAAAGATCTATACCAAGATCAACACGGGCCTGATGTGCTTATTGTGCTGGATCATCATCTACAGCATCGAATCGCCGAATCATTTGGGTTGGGGGGATCTGCGCTATTCCAACGTGTTCTATCTGTGCACTTTCGCCAACCATGTCCATTCCTACGCGCTGTTCTATATTCTGGTGGGCGTGGCCACACCGCTGACCATCACTTTCATCATGTATCTGCAGATTTACGTGCGGGTGAAGAACTCCAAGATGACCCGCAGCATGATTCTCAGCGGAGCGAACGCGCCAGTCGCTCCGGTGTCGGCTGGCAACACTTCCGGTCAGTTATGCAGTTGTACGGTGTAAATAATGAAAACGAATCCGCGCTTATGTCGGGTGTTTCGTACTGATTGAAAATTTACGAATAAAGTTTTTACCAAATTACGACACTTTTACTACAGAGTATATTTAAGTACCGTCAAGTACGCACAATTTAAGGGATTTGGCCCGGTACATAGCATCAAATTTGTATACATCCACGGCAACTTTCGCTGTTGCGCACTCCCAAACACTTTTGCATTACTTTATGATATTCTGTAGCCAAAGGATTCGTGTAGGTGTACATTGCGAAATTCGAAAACGTACATTACGATGAAGATCGTTTTGGTACCGAACCAGCTTTCTACAATTTTTTTCAAATTTTTAATAAATTTTAAAAATTTAAAAAATTAACTTAAAATTTGAAAAAAATCGTAGAAAGCTAGTTCGATACCAAAACGATCTTCATCGTAATGTACGTTTTCGAGCAAAATTTGAAGAGCATCGGTTCATAATGAGACTTTTGGTACACTTCTGCGCGTTTAAACTTTTGGAATTCTCTTTCATTAATAACTCCCGAACCGGATGTTGCGCGCACAAACGGTTTTTTCGCCTATGTATACGAATCCTTTGGCTACAGAATATCATTAAGTAATGCAAAAAAGTGTTTGGGAGTGTGCAACAGCGAAAGTTCCCGTGTATGTACCCGAATTTGGTACTACGTACCGGGCCAAATCCCTTAAAACGTTATTCTAGTGGTACTTTACGTCGGGCCGATTTGAAAGACAGACCAGCTGAATACATATATATGACCAAACTTGTTATGGCAAAACCAACACACTTTTTGATCTCAAGATTTTACAGCCTTCACTCAGAATCATAACTTTGCGCCACATGTTTTGCAACTTTCACTCACTTTTGCAATATGCGTATGATTTGTAAGGTCGCAGAATCACAGTGCTGTCCTATGAAAATAACAGAAAGAACTTATAACCCAAAACTGTAATAAAACAATAATTAATTAAGACTTTGGCAACCTTTCCCGTTTTCGATTTTCAGGCGCCACTACGGCTTCCGGTACGCAGTCCACATCATCTGCACCAACGACTGCGGCAGAACAATCAATGTTGGCCAGCGTCACCCAAAAATTCCAAGAAGACTTAAAGATCATCTACGCTCTTTTTCGCGTCTACTTAATCTTTATGCTGATGTGGGCGCCGCTTGTCCTCCTGATCCTGATTGGTCATCCGGAAGATGAAGAACAACGGCTCCATCACGGCTGGTACATCACCTCCCTCATCATCGCCCACGGCAACAGCTCCATCAACTGTCTGGTGTACGCGTACACCATCGATCACTTCCGTGCCGGCTACTCGAAACTTTTGGGTTGCCAGTCCAAGACGAAGCTCAGCCGGGTGCGTTCTCGCCGGCAAACCGGGACCGAGTCCTTCAAACGGCGTAAGGCGATGCCGGACGAGATGTTCAGCGGAGTACCGGTGACCAGTAATGCTCTGCTGTTGTCAACGGAGTCCTCCAGTCTGCGCACAGAGGCTAGTAGCGTCTTCGTGCGATCACCGGTGACGGAGATATCACCGCTGGCCGAGAGTGTGGAAACTCGTTCGAGATTATTTACAGAATCGTCGTGCATTGCAGTTAAACGAGATTCTTAGGAGTCTAGATGCTTAAATGATTTATGGTGTATACTTTAATTTTCGATATTGACGTAGGGTCGATATTCCGGACCGCTAACGAGATCTGGAAATGGTCTTCAGCAACTTATCTAGTTTTATTCTTTCAAGTATTCCATAATCGGTGTTCTCAAATAGCTTTATAATCACAAAATTAATTGTTTTTAAAGCATTTTCTACGATATGGCTGCTTTTCACTGCGGGTCTGTTGCATTTTTACCGGAAATACATACCAAGCTGGTAATTCGGTTGGTCTCACCATCCGTCATCGGCGGATTAGCATCTGCATATTACATACAAACGAAAACATGAGACCATACTTACTAAGGTTTGAAATAACACCGGCGACCCTTACAGAAATTCTAAGACGGAATCGTACGATACTGTCCATCTTTCTGTAGAATTTAGTAATCGTAAACTATATTACTTTGATTTGATCTTTAAGATTCTCCATTTTGTAGATTCTGTACATTATTAGCTCGATACAGATCGGCAGTTGTTTGTTCCAGTTGTAAGAATGTTGAGATTAAAGTTATAACCCAAACTTTGGTAAACATCAGGCTACAAGACCATAATTATATATTAGTAGATCCTCTTAAAAGATACGTATAAGATCGCTTTAAGAAAACATCCGAAAACAAAGGTGTCAAATGCCCGGACAAAACGTTGCACTAGCGAAATACCAACAAATTAGTAAACAAGTATATCCTCGCATATCACACTGCGTGCAACACGCAAGATATATGGTGTCCCGTGTAATTCGACGGGCACCAGTCGACATCCAGAGAATGGAGAGTCCCATTTCGCGAACCGCGCAGCAGCGCCACCACGTTGCATAGGTTTGAGCTCAGCGTGCAGACCACGTCATCGGCCAACGCCAGTATGGTGACCTCCAGAATCAGTTGCGTCGTATGCTTAACCCAGTACGCTCTATCCAACCGTGTCACGTGGTGATTCACCTGCTTTAGGGGATTGACAAACAACTGTTTCGGATTAAATCCATGCACTTGCGACAGATCAACAATACTGTGCACACTGCACGTGTCCTTCCGCAACAGATTCCGCAGCAATTCAAAGGCTGCCTCGTCATCGGTCATGACAAAAACCACACAGCGTGCATAAGCTTCAGTCTCCAAAATTTTGCGAATTTCTTCGGCAAAGCGTTCAATGGGAATATCAGCCATTTCCTTGCTGGTGATCTTGTCCGTGCGGCGCATGTGAACACCGATGAATCCGTTGGATAAAGCGCTGGATAGGAGCACTTTAATAAACTCACGAAATTCCGGTTTTAACTGCCACAAAGATTTGGCAAGCAAGGATTTGGTGCGAAATTCCCCGGGAAAATCTATCTGGTACAGTTTCCTAATGACGTAACGCATTTGGTCGAATTCTGGAGCGGAGTTCAGCGGAGCGGCGTCCACATCCTTCGAGACCGTTACAGTGTTATTTTCGTACGTTACAGTGTATGTGCCACCATGGCGCAATAATCGCTCGGCCTGCCAGTCAGACAAATCGGCCATTAAAGGGCACTGAGTGGAACGGGCGAAATCGTCAAAATATGTGGCCAGATTTTCGTAAGGCCATTCGTGGTGTACCAGCTGATAGCGTCGCCCTGTCTTCTGGGCAATGTGATACGCGCCTAGTCCATTGCTTAGATAGGAGCCAAATCCCAATCCAGGGCTGTGTCCCAGAAATCCACCGAAAAGACGCCGGTTGGGATGACAGTCGTTGGTGTATGCCGTCATAAATTGTTTAACCTGTATGAAATGATTGGTTAAGTGTTTTCGTAAAAAAAAATTCACACTATCCGGTTTACAGATAACAAAACTATGAACATAATATTACATGAAACCGCGAGGCAGTCATAAACTGAATCTACCTTTAAATTAGAATATACAGTAGCTAGCTATAAAAAGAATTATAAAATATTTGCTAAAGCTAAAATACTAAGTTATCTAAAAATTAAATATATTTCATTGGCAGTTTAATTTAATGAAAACCACACTCTGACTCACCGAATTTGAAAGAAAAATCCTCCGAACTTTTTCATTAAATGCATCGACATAGGAATTCCAAGCATCGTCCTGAACAATCAGGCAAGTCAGGTCGAAACTGGTGATATGAAAAAATCGAGGAGTGACCCCCGATGAACGTGATGTATTGTTGGTTTGCTGACCACAGGAGGTCATGCAAGGTATTTCGCAATAAACAACATTTGACTGTTGTTCAGTATACAGATAAACCGGGGCAAAATAATAGATTATGGAGAAACTCATAAAAGCACCACCTGCCAGGATAACCACAACAGGATGACAAAGGCGGAAAGTGGACACTTTTACTGAGATAAATGCCATAACATCCAAGTGGAAAGCCTCAGTTTCAGCCCATCACCTGCAATCTTTAGAATAATGTACAATTTCAGCGTTTACAATTTCAGTCCTTCAGCATCATTTAAATCTTAATTATAATACTGTTATATTCGAAATTACAACAACTGCTTCCATTCGTCCAGTTTCTGCTGGAATAATGGAAGCCGTAAAAATTACATACAAGTAAATTTGAATGGTTAGAAAGTTTAACTATAAATAAATTCGGGAAAGAAGAAAACCGATCTTTTGTAAGGTATACCGCGATCAGAAGCTGCTCTGCTGTCAAGTGCGGTGCTTGAGAAAGTGATGACGTTATGCATTAAATTACATACTGGGCACAACAATTACGAATGCACTCCTACTAGAATTTGTGTCTGCTGCTTAACTTATCTGTATTTATTACCACTGCACTTTCACTGGCGTACGTTTTATGTTGTAAAACATTCCGCCTTCTCATCGCATCGTTTCAGGAAAACCAAGGAATGTTTTGAACGTATTCACTGGGCCATCATTTGGTCATAATCGTTTTTATGCCGAGAACGTTAGTGCTAGACACTAGACAGATCGGGCGTCCAGACAGAGCGGGCGTTCTCACATGCTCCGTTATTGCCACATAAAATTGTTTACATACAAAAGATACCAGTACCTGCAGCTGGATTAAGGGAAGTGTGTCGGTACATAGCGCCAAGTTCTTATTCGTGGGCAATAATATTATATGCGCAAAAACTTTACGTTTCGCTCACTTCCAAACACTTTTTGCAGTGGCATTAATTTTTGTAAGGAAGTGGTTAATGTAGTTGTAATTACTATGACTAATGTACCGACCTTTCTTGGCGACAGTTGGGTCTGATTGTGTTGCTTTTCATGTTGTGTATGGATAACGGGGTACTCCCCTAAACTGGTTACCGGCAGGATAACTCCTGTTCGGCCAGAAATCGAAACATCTCTTGAACCTAATTCTAGCCGTATTAACATCCAATAATGACTGCGGCGCAATTACCTGTAGAGTTCATCAGCTATGCCTCAGGACTAGTCGTTTTCCCGTAACGGTATAGCCATGAATATTCAGTTAGTTAGTTTAGATGTTAATGTTTGAACATACAAGTAAAGGAAAATGAAAATTAATAAATTTACTTTATACAGCCATTATATAAACTTGTCTTTGTACTGAACCAAGCTGCAGTCAACGCGAATCGAAACCTGTTCAGTACGGTTTGAGCTGGTTGTAGAACGTACTGACGAAGTGTGTAAACAAACCTCAACACTACTCGTACTGAAAATAGACTCACGGCCTAAGATCATTAATTTATGCATGACCGGTTACAGTCCCTTATCTCCAGTGCAACATCTGAATGGTGCTCTCAAAGTACAGGTAGATGTTTTTAAACACAATTTTAATCAGGGGGCGACCACGATGATAATTATTTGTTACGCTTGAGAATATGGTCTTTCACAGTAGAAAATTTAATATACAGTAGTTGTAGTATATTATGCTAAAATTAATAATACCTGTTGCTTCGCAACACTAGGCAGGCAGTGCCAGGCACCTGTTTAAAACACCACCCTGGTCTTTCGTATTACTGCCTGAGGGTGTAGTCAAATTTTATGTCTGCAGCTAACGGACTCTGATAAAGTACTGCTGGATATACATTGTATCAATATCTGTATGATTGTGTCGTGCTGAAGATGCATTATAAGATAAAATTAATGCTAACATGATACAACATCGCGCTGCGGCATGCATTTGCTATCGTGCTATCATTAATTTTGAGTTTTAGTGAGATGCTGCACTTTTCATGCATTACGCACAAATGATAAATAAGAACATTCTTACATTTTTTTATAATTTTGATTGTACTTGTTTTTTTTTTTATTCGCAAATCCATATCAGCGACAGCGAGCACCACTCAGTAAATAAAATCAAATGAAAAATTTGTCCCAGTTAACATTTTTTATGCACTAGCACTTATTTAACCATGTATGTAAGAAATATCCGTCGTCTGGATCCATAATTTTACATAACTGAGCTTTATTTCCGTTGATTCCGTACAAATTGTATTAATATTCTAGAGGCATTAATTTAAAAGATATCTGCTAGTTCAGCAATCTGCGTGCATTTTCGACGGTGTAGAGAGCATGCTTATCTGTAGCGCCATGGCAATGCGTGGTGGTAGGATAGGAATACACATCCAATTCAGAAGCGTGATTGAGTAGCAATTTTGACTTTTGTTGAAATTATTGCAGTCCTTGCCATTTTGCAATTCATGCCAATAAAAATAACTGAAATTCGTTTTATCGTTAGAGCACCGGATTTCCTTAATTCAGCCGACAATTTATTTCTAGCCCCATAATGCTAAGGTTGTTAAATAATATTGCACGCTTGTCCAGCTGAATCGAAGCACACCTGCAACAGTACGCTCCTTTAGTTATGGTTCCACCATTTCCCTCACGTGCTCGTGGTAAGCTTTACCTCAATAGCGGTGGAACCGGCGATGTACGGGGATGCGGTTAACTGCGGTGCAACGGAGAACAACAACGTCTGGCATCCCGAATAGTTGATACTGCCGGGATAATTGGACGCCCCATAGATCCCTGCTTTACTGGTAGTGGGGATGTTCAGCAAGGCATTGTAATTACTAACGAGAATGACACCCGGATTGGCACCGTAATCCAGCACGGCCGGCGAATATATAGCCGGTGGTCCGGCTTGGCTCGTGAGATCGGTCAATGCGGCTCCCAGCCCGTTGGTAGGACAACTGCAGTCTACCGGCATATCCCATATTAAGTCGGTACCGTCCGGGACATTGCTAGCCTGTCAGACAAAATTCCATTTATCACTATCGAAAACCTAAGGAGTGTAAAATAGTGCAATGCCAAAGAATTTACCATTATGGTCAGTTGCGGATAATCGTTATAGGCAGAATTCATCGGGTCCGGAGGGTATCCAGGGCAAAATGTTGTGCCGTTGACTGGTCCGGTCAGTTTTATGGTGCAGCTGGCAAACCGGAACTGGCGCACGAATAACAATATTTCTGACAATATTTTTTAAACGGATTTTTTTGTATCTTCCTGTCGCATTGTGGTACAAAAAGCGGGCTATATTACTGATGCGTTCTAACCGCGTTGTATATCTCTTACCGTAACACTGACGGAACTGGACACCGAGAGGCTAAGGTCAAAGTTAAAGTATGTAAACTGGTAGACCTGGGTAGCATCTTCAGTTACAGCCACGCTGTTTCTATAGATCAGTCCGGTGGTTGGATCCACCGTAATCAGCTGTTGCATGGCTCCATTGCTGCTGTATATCAGATCCGTAGCGATGTAGTTTCTGGAGGTAGCGTTGCCACAGCCATTCCACAGCTAAGGGAGATATGAGGCTGCTTTAAAAAGCTAACGTAAAGCACACTAGAAGAACCGTAAAATTTCGGACGATGATGTAATGCTTTCGGGCTGTCAGATCGGTAGAATTATTAGAGTTTGGACCGACTGCACACATATTTAATTTAACCGCTTCGGTGAAAGGTGTTTCTGTTATGACTCTCGTTTGTTTTAATATTCAGTTTCTACTTACATGACGATACTTATTAAAAATATTTACGTAGTGGTCAAACATTAAATTTATTGTTTCATTTTTGTTGCACTGTGCCACAGAAAAGCGCTAAACTACTTACTGTAAGTTCGATCCCTTCCACGCGTGTCAGGGTATAATCGCATGGCACATCCACACAGCTGACTGATGCCGAAATCTGCAGATCCCGGCACAGTGGCGGAATATCTAAGCATGATGTACACCCAAGACACGGCACTACACAGCTACTGCCCACAATACAAACACCAATTGTAACAACAGTCACGCAAAACAGGTGCATGTTGCAGGCAACTTACACGTACGTAATTACGCCACAAAGCTCCAAGTGTTGTTACTGAACTAGCATGGGATATTTTGCTCCCCAAAGAAATGAGCTGCTTAAATAGTATTTTAGGGCCTCGGAGTTTTATAGATTATTTTGCAGTTGATGTACAGTTATTTACATTATATAAACCAACGACACATTATTTAACTTAGCGCCGCATTAAATGAGCTTAGTGGAAAATTATCAAACATCCAAGGAAGTCGGAGACGTCTGATCTCATGTGCGGTACTGCGGAACAAAATGTTCGGAAAAGACGGCAACTTAAAACGGTGCACAGGTGCTCGGTGAAAGCAGCTAAGCAAAAGGAATTCATGCAACGGCATTCCATGCAAGGCCAGAATTATTTTATGTGTTTCACTGAGCCACCAAGAGGCCGTAATATTTTTACGGAAATCACGTTATTTTTAGACAGGTCAGCGTCCATGATATCTCACGTTCATTTTATTGTCGCATAAAATTGTTTACACACCCAGGATATCTGGATTGTATACGGTTTGCAGCACTTACAACGATGCCACTATAAGATACGTAACATAAGTTGCATGTATTATGCCGCCATGGCCACAAACAATCATCACGAGTACCCCGTGTTTTATCAGTAAAATTAATCTCAGATGTGCACAGCAAATCTGCTACAAAAGGCCACTAACTACGACATTCCACCGTATATTACGTATAAAGCATTCCATGTACCAAGTTTTAAAAATTTCGATAGACACTACTGTACAGCTTTACCCAATGAACACCGAAGCTCGAAAGCTGTAGAAGAGCAAGTAAACTTTATTACATTATGTGGTTCTGAACAGTTTTGTCATGTTTACTGCTTTCTGTGTCAATGTCTGCAGCCTAGCGGGGGCTGCAAAGACAATAAACTTCATTATTATTATTTATTATTATTTACTCTTCTAGTTATTCAGAACAATCTACAGTTCCCAAAACAGAAGCCACGTTTCGGTGCCATAACATAGTGTACTAATAAAACTACGGAAAGCCAGAGACTAAAGTGTCAATGGTATCTGTTTCGAGAAATTTTAGACATTTGTAAAAAAGTACTTGAAAGGTTACGTTGAGCAGCAACCCCGGCAAGTGGTCCAGGTTGATGTCGACAAGGACGTAATAAAGAGATATTACACAGTATCCGGTTTCGACCACACTACAGGATCGTGTTGCTCGGTAAATTAAAAACTAACGTCCTAGAAATAAATACGTTATTACCCTTTAAGTATGCACGAGTGCCGGCAGTATCGCATTCAGTAATTATCACTAATCCGAAAATGGAGTGTCGTTCCTTCTTGGCTGCGCCAACGGTCGATTGGTTTCCGTGTTAGCCACGGCTGGTTACTTTTCTTCAACGAAGTATGCCGTTCCTGTCTAACTGCTGCTGCACGTTATCGATTTGTTATTATAGCGTAATCCTCAGTCTTTTATATCCTTATCAAGTTTTATTTTACGCCTTGATATGACACATACGGCACTCGCTGTAATAATTTTTCTGAATACTTATTTAGCAAATAGCCAAATAAATCTAGTCTCCATATCGTCCGGGCGTAGTGGACACAGTGGGTACAGAGTCATGGTGCCGCTGTTTCAAACCGTCGCCGCCGAATTAGAAGACAGCTATGCGACAACCCATAATATCTCGGTGACAACCAAATACGGGGATCCCGTAATTCCTTGCACGGATATGGAATTAGATTTGATTATGGCGAGTTTACAGGACTTGTACAGGGATGGACAACTACACGAGAACGGATTAACGGTTATAGTACCGTCCACCGGTAGGCGGATACGATCACATGCATGACTTCCCAGGTTGTAAAGGTTAAAAGCGTCTTTGATAATTCTGGGTGTGTTTGGCAGTGTGCGGCAATTATTTTCTACATGTTGGAGATTTTGCTCGGGAACTGGACATCACGGCGCTTTCATGGTACGATGAAATGCGTCATGACTTTTACCGCTACCATTCATTACTGCTATTCAGTGGGATTTTTTAAATGTTGCAAAACTTCTGAAAACACAAAAAGTCGGAATTAAAAAGTAATGTTTTGTTACGCCTGTGTGAGGAGAGAAGCGGCTCATATACAGCGACAAAGTCTTTCAAGGATTTTCAACACACTGCGCCGTGGTGCAGTGTTCAATTCACCCATCGGTGCATTTTTCGGCCGTTTCTCGGTTTCCCTCGGATGGCGCCCTGCTTTGACCTGTAACAAATAAGTTTTCTTCAAGCTTTTTGTAAACCGAAGTAATAAAATTTGGTCAGAATACGCTTATCTAAAATTATTAAGTTCCATTAATAAACTGAACTTTTTTAGCACTTTGAATGATCCGTTTCTCACGGACCCCATTCGCTTTCCATCGGTAATATCGGCCGGTCCTTTGAACCTGCCCATGTTCGGCCACTCATTCCTGAGCATTATGGAGAATTTTCAATGGCATTCGGTGGCTGTATTAATCGATCGCATGTCAACGGATACGATCAATGCCCTGCGCTACAATCAGACATGCCGGTATTTTCTGGAAGCATTGTCCGGTTCCAATGTACAGGTGCAGCGGATTAATTTGGACTCGGATACGACGAATAGTGACGTCAACGGATGGCATTTTGCCTTACGGCTCGCTTCCGATTACACCAGAAGTAAGGGAGATATGTAACATAATTTTTGGAAATTAAGGGAATCGCTGTGGTGTAAAATGAACTTTATCCGCACCTTATAGCTTTGTAATCGATCATCCTCGATTTCTTGTAGTTATTGTCTCATGTACCACGTCCATCCGGCAGCATCGATTTCTGGTATATGTGATGAAAAAAGATGTTTGCGAATTATATTATTTTGTATTACATAAACCGAAGCTGTGTTTCTAGGCGGTTGCGGAAGAGCTTGGCTTTGCCAATGGTCAATACGTAAGCAACAGTCTTTTGCGCTGCAACTTTTTTTAAATTTTTCAGAAAGCTTAGCCTGCTTACGACTATTAAGATATTTCTCTGATAGGGAGTTTTAGAAAAGCATGTTTGGATTCATGAGAAAATAATTGCACACGTTGCTAATCACTAATTTAATTTTATTGAATTCGTCTCTTGTAATTCACTGTTGACGATAGGTCCCTTTAATAGGCTTTCATTTTTCCGTATTCGTTTCTTGTTCCGGATGATCTGCCATTTACATGCGGTGGAATGCGTTCGCACAATCAATCATGCGACTCGGTAACGGTCATGTCGGTACAGAACCCCGTTTAAACTTTAAAGTAAGAAGCTGATTTCTGCCGTAAATTGCAGAAAACACTTAAAGCATTGCAGAGCACGCTGATTATTCAACCCACCTTTCCCAACTGGACCATGGTAGCCACAACGATGCAGAAAATTCAACAACGCCGTCAGGAGCTGTTTAACATTGCCGATCGTGACATGGAGGTGCACCATTATGTAACCTATCGCCGACATATTCAATCCCATTCAGAAACCTGCATTTTATTTCCAGAGTAACCAGTTTGCTGCTTCTTGTCTCGAAGCACTGGAAAGCGTAGCAAAGGTCAGTGGTGCAACTTGGTCGAGCCGTTAACCGCTACAGTAATAAATTTCATGAACGGTTCAAGCAAATTCCAGAAATTATAGTCAGGTATTTGCAGACCTACGATCGACATTATGAACGCTTTGCCGGCATGACCACCATCAGCGGACGGTTGTTTCGCCACTACTTTGCTAACTCGACATTTGACCTGGCTTCGAAGACCGTACGGTACAGTGAAGGCCTCCGCGTCAGCGAAGTGCAGATACTAGGTTTTGATGCAGCATCCAGCGTTTTCAAGGTACTTTAATATCTGCCTGTAAAAACGCTTTTTCTGTAATATAAATCGCAGAACAAACACTTGCACACTACGTAAATTTTCTACATTGTTCAGCAATCTGCACGAAAAATAATTTCTATAAATGTATGGATTAATGGTATCAAATCAAGTTTAAGCGGTTGCTGGCTGTCTTTCCTAGGTGCTTTTCACAATGAACAGCAAAGACAAGATCTTAGGCAGCACCGATTCGGGCTTTATCTGGATGAACGGGAGCGCACCTTTGGATCGGCCAAAATGCGGTCTCCGCAACGATTTATGTTTGGATCACTCCGTGACCTATGGCAGCGTCATAACCGCGATAGGGATTACCTTATTGTTCGGCATAGCGGTTTTTTACGCTGCCCGGTGAAACTCGCTGCCCATTGCCCATTTCATGAATGCTTAAAACTGAAACATTAATTTTGTTTTAAAGGCGAAAGTGTGGCACGGAGTACGGCGGGGATGCCTGGTGGATCATCTCACCCCGGGAACTGGCATTTGACGACGAATGGCCAATCTCAGTAGCCAAAAGCCATGTTGCCGAACGGCTACGCGTGCCATCATCGTTCTCCGCCGTGAAGAGCAATGTCGGCCGCACTGCGAAATTGAGGAGTACCAAATGCTGGATCACGAAGATGGATTACCCTGCCACTGGGCGGGTGATGTCGTATAGTGAAATATCGAAAATTATGAGCACGGTACGCACTTCAATCTCACATCCAGAATGAAACATTCATTTTAAAAGCCAAAGTACAGTATACCTAGTTTAGGCGCGGGGACTACGTCACACTAATATCAACGCAACATTCGGATTATGCTTAGAAAAACCATGCATAGTGGAGGATTATGTGAGTCGAGGTTCCCTGGCGGATTTCCTAGCGGATGCCCATCGAATGGACAGTGAACTTATGCTGTCCTTCATCACCGATTTAACCCTGGTAAAATTTTCCCTAAATTATCTGAAAGCACAGTTATTTCTTTGCTAAAATTTTTGCTAGAAAAATCAGTTTTAACATCACCTGTGTAATTTTGCCGACAGGGTTTGCATTTCCTCCACAAATCGGCGCTGCATTTTCATGGCAGTCTCCGGTCGACCAAATGCTTACTCAACCAATGGTTTTCACTACGCATCGGCGACTGTTTGAACGACAAAATCAACGGTGCTTCGCTACGGGTTAGTGCGCGTGCCAACCAAAATGTGGTCTATGCCAGAAAGCTCCTGTGGACCGCACCAGAAGTACTGCGGAAAGACAAGCCCAAGAGTGCCGCTTCCGATATTTATTCTTTGGGCATTATGACCCATGAGATTCTCTATCAACTTGGACCGTTTACGCTGGGTCCGGTGGCTGACATCTCTCGCTTGGCAGCCCTCGGTAGAAAATTGTTAAATATTTTTAATTAAATTTTAATAACATTCTTTAGTCAGATACACATTATAAATGAATAATTTACGCTGTATATTTACGTGATCCCTGGAAAACCATTACAAATTATCAGGAGTAAGGCTAACTGCAAAATTTCCCAGAGTATGTTTTCGATGATCCTTTCAGATGTCATCACCAAGGTCAAACAAACCACTGCAGCTGACCGCATGTTTCCCTGCCGTCCGTTCGTGCCGGTGCTGACCGGCTCCGCACAGACAGACCGACTAGTCAGACTAATGCAGCAGTGTTGGGACGAACAGCCGGAATGTCGGCCAAAAATCGCACAGATTAAACAAAGTATCAGCAACATCTTACAAGTGGAGAGTTTAGACACGGCAGCGTCCCTGATTGATCGCTTGATCAAACGCCTGGCCAGCTATCACGCTGAGCTGGAACACTTGGTCACAGAGCGCACCCAAGAATATGTAGCCGAAAAACGAAAAAGCGATTTAATCCTGCTAGAGATCTTTCCAAAGTACGTACATATTACCAAGTTCTGCAACGCTAACGCTTTCTTGAATGTACAAGGTGTTCGTGCACGTACAGACCGTACGTACTCTGTACAATTTCAGGGGGTATGGTCTTTTCACCACAACTTTTATTGCTCGTTACGCAACCAATTTATTCTTTGTTTATAGAAGTACTAATGCAGTAATTGTAAGAGCATGTGAGAGTAAGTGTTCAAAAACCGTGGCATCGTGGCTCGAAAACCGGCTTCTAGGTGTAGGCTGGAACACCTGGTTTGATTTTGTGACTAAACTGGGCCTCGACATCTCCATTAAATTATTGATCAGCTGGTCTACCGGCTTAACGTTACAATCGAAAAAACGTTGCAAACAAAATTTTGGAATTTTAATAGTTAAGTTCATTTGGCAGGTCGGTGTTCGAACGGTTGCGCTGTGGTATTTTCGTGACGCCAGAGATTTACGACAGCGCCACGGTTATGTTTTGCTCCGTTCTGGGATACGAGCAGGTTTTAGCTACGGACTCCGTCGCCAGGTTCACTGAGCTACTGGATAAAGTCTACACGGCATTTGACTTGGCGCTGCGCTCTTTCGATGCTTACAAAATGGAGACCATCGGAGTAACATATATGGTAACCACTAATATTTTTAAAAGATTACAAGATTTAATAAGAAGTAAACAATTACAGGTTGTTAGCGGAGTGCCAGATCGCAACGGTCACCGGCACTGCGAAGAAATCTGCCGAGTGGCGCTGCAGTTCCGTGCGCTCTTTCTGAAACTGTATTTTAACGGACCAATCCAGCTACGATGTGGAATCGATTCCGGTGCACAAGAAAAAGCAATCTTTAGTAAAAAACGTAATGTATTTTTTATCGGTTGAACCCGTAATAGGACCAGTTGCGGCTGGAATCGTCGGACAGAAGCGACCGCGATACTGTTTGTAAGTTTGTTGCTGACCGTTCCCTGACAATTATCACAGTAAGTTTAAGAAAAACGTTTTATTAACATCGTGTTTCGTTATTTTGATAGATTTGGTGACACCATCAACTGCGCCTCGCGTATGGATAGCAGCGGTACTGGCGGATTTATACATCTTAGTGAGACGGCCGCTGATTTGGCGGCATGTGCCGGACTGCGTGTCCGCCCTCGTGGCACGGTTTCTATCAAGGTACATTACGCCAGCAATGTTTTAGGAACAATTTTTTTCCGACACGTTCATCTGTAGGGCAAAGGTGAAATGCGGACGTTTTATCTGGATTGACCAAAATTTTGTATGGCAGAGTTGCCTGAATAGGCGCTCAAGAATTAATTTGGAGTTCACTAGAAATCGTCACGGCAGACATTATGGCTTCGATTTTTGAACGTTTGTGAATAACTTAATTAATTATTTGCGGCACAGCAAGCTCGGAAGGGTTGGTCTGTTAGTAAAGAAACGATACAAGTACAGAACGACACACGGTAAACGAAATAAAAGGCAACATGTCACAGTTCTTAAAGTTTAGCATGGAGCGCAGCTGCTTGACTTTACTTTGTACGAGTACATTAGTTGCAGATAAATGTAAAATAGAAATTATGGTAGTACTCGTATGATGGCACAAGTCTTGGTCATGATATTTAACCTTTCATGTTAAACTTTGAGATGATGAAATTACATAACACTGAGATGTTACATAACACTGACATATTAATTAACTCTGAGATGATGAAATTAATCCAGTTTAGTACTTATATTGCTAATTGTTTTAAAATAATTCGGCCATAAAGTAATCTTCACAGGTTAACAGTCATGCACCTTATGCTTAACCATATCACGGTATATGTCTGTGACTCGGAAAAGGTGAGTTGTGAATTTGTGGCCCACTTGTAGTCTACTGGATATGTGAAAACTTTAAACGCGCTTACAAGGAAGAAGTCACGCTATTTAAATGTTGTTCTTAAAACGTTACAAAAATATGATGCATTCTTCGATGAAAGCCATACAATGTGCTTGATTCAATATACCCGTCAAATGAGCGTTCATGCTGATCTCAACTCACTAAAGTGCCCTTATTCGCATGTATCGGTGTCTTTTGCAACCCATCGGCTCAAACACCGGCGGATTGTCATTAGGAATCGGTGTCAGAATCCCCTGAAAAGTCAACCGTCATTCCGGTTATCCTCGAAAATTTTCTAACGGTAGCTATTCCGCACCTGTACATTGCAGATACCCAGGTAGTTAGCGCCTTTGGTGAAGAAATCTTGCAGCGGTTTGACGTCGGCTTCGCTCCACGTGCGGCTACTGAAATACTTTTGCGCCTGCGGCTGCAGGTGTTTGACCATAAGGCGGCGTGCTGGCATCAGATCACTGGTACCGCTCATGAGAATATTCGCCATTTCCGGCGTCAGTTTTGGTCGAAACGCCGATCTATTTGAATTACAAAGGAAAGGGCTGTGAATGCTGTTTTGTTCTTTACTATGTGATTGGCGTACTGGTTGGGGCGGGGCTGCGACATCAAGGCCAAATAATCCGGAACACGAAATCGCGTTCCACAGACCTTTAGCGCGGATTTAGGATAGTAATTGAGGAAGGCTAAGCACATTTCCTCCATAGAACCCTCTCCGCCCTTCAACAAAATAAAAAAAATTTGCAGTTTGGAAATTCATTTCGAATTTCAACATACAAATACGGGCTGAATATCGTTCTCCGTGGTAAAATTGCATTCTACCACAATCCGATCACCCTGAAAGAAAATAGAGCCAATAGAGCGAACAGTATGCCAAGACATGTGCCTATTGTCTGGTGCACTTACAGGAAGAAATTTCCTGAACGGCATGACAGGCCGCGTTGCTTGGAGGTTGAAATCATACTTCAGGTTAGCGTCAATGAGTGGCAGTTCTTTGGAGCCGCGGAAGTGCCGTACCACGCCACTCAGACCTAGCGAACAATGAATATCACTAAACTCAATAAAATACTGTATGAATAATAGTGTTGCTAATAGAATAGTGTTGCCCAAAGGTGTGGCGAATATGTATACCTCTTGTATGCATGTGAATAACGCTGGAGAAAATTGTGATGCCTTCTTTGGGAAACTACACAAAAAAGGCACAGTTAGCAAAATTGAATTCCCAGTGACTACTGAATAACGCTGCCGGGTGTACTTACCAATTCGGTACAATTATTCACGCATTGTCCTTGGACAGTAAAGACTTTCTGTCCTGGAGGCAACGTCATAGTAACTACAGAAAGAAATTAATAAAAGAAAACTACAGCGGGAATGTGTGTCTTTCATAATTTTTCAAATACTTGCTCGAACTCACAGTCTAATCCAAGCAAGCCGGTCATCAGTGTTCCCATATCGTACTGGCGCAGTTGATCGCTTAAATGGTAGATCATTCCCGAATTGTCAACGAATGCTGCAGCGCAGAAAGGCAGCGCCAATGTCAGAATCAGTTCTGTTGTGAATACACTCGACATATCCCATACATACATCGGCGTTCCGGGTTGTTGTAATGCAACTGTACAAGCACATATTTCCCCGACATTTCCGGTCCCCACGGTTGGCCGGTTTCTTTGGGATACGGATTAACGTCCTTTTAACAAAAGCAGAGTTATTCAGAACAAGATAACTTCAACGCATCCAGAAATTTCCGGGCGCTCACGGCCTCACATACTAGTTGCCTCTTTCGCAAATTCTTTGTTTTATTCGTAACAACGGATTACAAGCTGAACAAGGAAGTTAGTGATGCATGTTAAGCACTCACAGCCTGTCCCATGGCCCAGGCACCCAGTAGGTTAGGGCAGTACTTCATCATGAACGTCGAACCATCAGTGGGACTGCAGGGAAATTTGCCCTTGATCAGTTCCGGTTCATCTTTAGGAATATCATTGCACGAATATACCAGCATGTGATGGATGTAGGGCAAATTTTCCTTGTCCAGCAACGGTTGGGTCTGAAAAGGGCATAATTAAAATCAATCTCATCTAAAATCAATCAAAGAATTCCTGGGTGCAACATACCGCAATAGCGTGATATTTTTTATCCAGCGTCGGCACTTTCTGTACTGCACAGTAGTACACCGTATCCAAATCGCCCGTAATTGAAACCTGCCAAGAAAAGTGTATTGACAACATCTCAGAAACCAGTAAGTAATTTTTATAGGATTTTCAATTCCGCTTGATAATTTGCGCTCGTATTATACCTATGTATTGTATGTACAAATCTATCGGATAGATTTGTTTGCCGGTAAAATAACTACAGATATTTTAACTCGTGTTTACAGAATACGTACATTGCCGATAGTGAACTGTAGCTTTTTGCTCCCCGCTCCATCTAGCTGTAAAGCGCTCTTCCCGTCCGGTGTCCGATCGCCTTCCGCTGTGCTACTGGCGCCCACAAAGTTGATATTTGTCGAATATTTGAACGTATGTTTAGTGATGTGCGCAGTGGGAGTGGTTGGCGGTTTGGTATGCAGGCTGTAGATGACATGCTGCAGAGCATCCTGAACAAATGCCGACGAACATATTTGACGACATTCGTCACCAAGTCTAGTCACTAACTAAAAACGACAATCTTACACGAAAAGGGTGATCGGCTTTGTCGCAGGTCTTCAGAAGACGCACGGCGCGGATCACGGTGTATGTGCCGTTTTTGGAACCGGCTATCTTTTGCCAGTCTTGCTGCTCGTCCAGACTTAAGTTCACCGACATTTTCAGCAAATTGGCTTGTAAATAGCGATCCTAAATTTGAAACATTTCACAAAATATAATTTTTCACAAGCTTTTACGTGCTTTCCTACCGTGAACTAGGTAATAAACTGTAATTCCTTTCGCGCTTTCAAAAGTATACTTTTGGTAATGTTACGCAAGGCGGTTTTACCTGAACGATAACTTCATTGGTCAGATCGTCGACGTATCCGAACAGTACATCCGATTGGTCCATGCCGCCTTCGGGTGATAATCCCATGGCCAGCCATCCCTGTGTCGGATAAGACAGCTGTACTTCGATGTGCGTCTCATTGGTGCCCCAGCTGATCTCCACTGGGCGGTCGGGGGCGGGGCCTGTTGTTCGGCGGACGTTGATCAATTCGATAGCGTGGCCGACATGCAGCATCAAGAGGAACACACAGCAGAGGAGTGCATGCATTTTTCGACGCTGCGCTTTTCGACCGAGCTCCAAAACTGCCGACGCGTGGAATAAAAAATAATACTAAAAACGCTTGTGGATTGTCCGTTCTCTCCTGCCAGATGGCTTACAATGAAAGCACAAGAACAACTTACGCCTGCGGATATTAAAGCTAGATAAAGCATTGTCTGTAGAAAATAACCCGGTATTTATATTGTTGTTTTCTGAATGAATACGTTTGGCTTTAATCCATGTCTTGCCAGGTTTGAACAGCTCTGAGCCACTATATAGATTGGTAATTTGGAAATGAATACATGGTGAATATGAGAACTTTAAAATGCAAATGAAAACCAGTATTTCCGTTGTAAGTATCAAGTGCACACCAAAACACCACAGATGCACCAAAGCGAAATAGGCATAAAACTATACTTTCTGCATCGGAATTATTTAAGCTACACACATAAGAACAATTGTAAATTGCACCCCTATTAAGGCAGCTCGCAGGAATCGCTCCTCTTGGGAACCCATCGGTCAATCACGGGCGGATTATCCGTCATCGATCTCGAGACGTTTCCTACCGCAAATTACCACGTAAAGGAAGGCAACAATTAAGCATTGTATATTGGCTCGCATTATCGTCACGTACCTGCGACATGCATATGCTCATGTACAGTAATTGACGCCCCTCGTGTAGAAATCATGCAGTGGTTTCGCGTCCTCTTCGCTCCAGGTGCGCGAGCTGAAGTACTTCTGCGCCTGCGGCTGTATGTTTTCCACGATGGATCGGTGAGCATCGCTCTTTTCGCTGGTACCCGACTTGAGGATTTCTGCAATTTCCGGAGTCAATTTAGGCAGGAAGGCGGGTCTGAACAACAGTACAGTCGATTACAAAATTATAGTTATGTTAAAGTTAAATCGCTTTTTTTTAACGTACTTATCTTATTATTGTATAATTTAATTATTTTTTGGCATTTTATTATTTGTTGTTTATGGTACAAAAGGGTTTATAATGCTTTATGCAAATTAAGTACGCTGTTGCGTACTGATTGGGCCTTGGTTGTGCCATCATAGCCAAGTAGTCTGCAGCACGGAATTTCGTTCCGCAGGTTTTCAGTCCGGCTTTTGGATAGTACATGAGAAAAGCCAGGCACATCTCTTCCATGGACCCTTCACCGCCCTTCACAAAAAATCCCACTTATACAACTTCACGGATACTTGATTATCCACCGACAATTTCAGTTTCGGGTTAACATACAAAGACAGGTTGAATGTCGTTCTCCGTGGTAAAATTGCACTCCATAATAATCCGATCGCCCTGCATAAAATATTCAAATATTTTCCATTGCAAGCTCGATTATACCTTTAAAGAAGTGTTAGTTTCGAATATTAAAGCAGAAGCTGAGGCTCTATGAACAGCGCGTATTGATTATTAGTCCAAAAGTTGAAACAGTAATACGCTTAATTTACATTACTAATCGTAATCGATATGTGGTACCGGTACAACAGGCAATGTAATCGGCATTATGAATTCGTGCACCGGCATGCTGATTTAATTGGTGATGGCTAATGGGTACTTAATTTACCGGTAAGAATTTTCGGAATGGAAGAACCGGTTGGGCTGTCTGGTAGTCGAAATCGTAAGTAGGATTAATATCAATGATCGGCAGCTCCTGAGAACCACGCAAATGTCGCACCACGCCACTCAGACCTGTCGACCAAGCTTGTATCCTGTTTATATAATATTCTAATGCCAATCCCATTTACATACCACGGGTATGCATGTGAATCGTGCTGGAGAAAATGGTTATGCCTTTCTCTGGTAGCTGAAACGGTTATGCAGATAATCTGTACATCGTTAGCGCTACACCTGTGCACGTAATAGAAATGTTATGCGTAATGGAAACTGACGGAATTCAGCTCCCCAGTCTTACCGAATTGGTACAAAACTCCAGGCAATGTCCTTGAATATTGAACACTTTCTGACCCGGCGGTAAGGTCATCGTAACTACACAAGCAAATAATATTAAATATTTTCTTATCGGTTGCATTCTAAAGGCCAATGCTGCTTACAGTCTAAACTAAGGATGCCGGTTATCAATGTTCCAGAATCATACTCCCTCAGCTGATCCGTTAAGAAAAATTTCATTCCCGAATTGTCGGCAAATGCTGGCGAATAAATTAAGCATGCGCTATTAACGCTAACTGATCACAATGCTACATTTTAACAATTACTAGGCCCACTCGTTACGCACTTTAAGTGAGTTCTGTAAGATACAGAGCCGGAAGTTCTGTAACGTTTTGACCCCACCCCTCAACGCTGACTAGACGCTCGAGGTTAAAGTGCTCTGTATCTAAAAGGAACTCTTCTGGCTCCGTTACGATACAGAACTCGCATTCTCACCAGAAGTGCAGGTTGATCTCACCAAGTGTATGCAATAACAAAATATTTTCCTTTACTTCTAACTTCCTTTAAATCACTAACGCCTGTCCCAACGCGTTCCGCGCTCTAGGCAACCACAGTCTTCGGATGATACAGTGCCTTTTAACATACAAGTCTTATGAGTGATACTTCCTGTTTGAGTTCACTAGTAGCGCTGATCGTTCCAGTTTTGACATCAGTGGGTCCGCAATAAAGCGTTACACTAGCTAAAATAAAGATAAACAACGCCTGTATCGACCAGCAGTTTGTGAATAATCAATTTATGATGTGAGTACGAAACTCGCTGTGCGCTGAAACTTTCGACCACATAACTGGAAAAATTTTAAGTTGTTGTCTCGTTGCTCTGTATCGATCGTTCTGTAAGATTAAGCGCTGTGCCATTGGTAGACCCTGTTTTACAGAACTTCGGCCACTTTATCTTATAGAACGTATTTAAAGTTCGTGGCGAGACAGGCTATTAGAGGCTGCATAGCTATAATCTGCCAGCTTTATTAAATTGTTCGGGTAAGTGATCCGGTATCTGTACATGGTACCAGATTCGTGTACATTGTACATGGACGAAAACTTTCACTTTCGCGCAAACTTTTTGCACTGTATCTACCAAACAGGTTTTTGGTACTGTTTCATGGCATTACGTTGCCAGATCATTTGTACCTTGACGTTTATCAATAGCAGATCCAGTTAGCTGTACATTTTGAATAACAGATCACCGCATCCACCACGTGTGGCTGGACTTACACGATGAACTGTGCTGAGCGCCTTTTCGGTCAGTAGCGTACGAGCTCCATAGCTCGTAGCTCAATAGACGGCGAAGTTCAAAACTTAAACGCTCGCATTGTGCCCGTTTCTAAACAGATACCAAGAGCGACATTTCAAAAGGTTGGGGACAAACTAAAGAATTGTTTTAGTCACAAACAAGTTGTTTTTCATGGCTCGGAATACAACATATTGTTTAGATAACTTTTGAAATTCTCTTACAGCCAAATCTCCAACTGGGTGTTGCACGCAAAAACAGGTTTCCCGTCAGTGTATACAAATCATTTGGCTACAGTCCACAGAATGCCATGAAACAAGGCAAAATGTGTTTGGGGAGCGCGAAAGTGCAAGTTTTGGTCAGATGGGTGTACGCTTGTGACGCCATTCCAGGCGATGCACCCGAACTGGAACAAGTTAGATTCCCTTGTGATGGTTCTCCGTTTATCATGAAGTATTGTCCGGGTTTGCTGGGCGGCTGGGTTATCGGTGCTGAGGTATAGTATCTGTGATTCCGTGCGCATATTGTTCGATATTATGCTAGTGTTCCTTCGAACGGATTAACAAAATACAAAACAACTGTTTGATTCGGTGATAATTATTGTCGGTGGCTTTCGATTAAACAGGACGTGCACTGGTTCCCCAAAAAAGTCGGCCAACCCTGGGGACCGGAAATGTCAGGAAAGCTCGCATTGGTCCGGGTGCATCACAACAATCGGGAGCGTCGATGTAAGTACAGCAGTCGATTTATTTTTGTATTATACGAGTAACCTTTGTTATTGGGGAAGGGTTTTCATCTGGATTTGTTCTCAAGGGAAATGACCTGATACATGATACATGGTACCAAATTTAAGTATGATGGATGTTGGCCACGTCCCGAGGGTCCATCATCGGTTGCGTCTGTTACAAATAAGTATGTCCGGCACGCATTATTTACGCGGGATACCACGTTACTGCAAAGCAGCTCGTCATGCAATTGCACCACGTTTTACCCCAGTGGCATGGTATTTCTTCTCGAACACGGGAATCCTCTGAATGCCGCACCAGTACACGGTGTCCTCGTCAGCGGTTACGGAGACCTGCAGCACGGGACAAAGCTCCCTAAAGGTGGTCAAAATTCCCGAAATTCCCTTGTTAAAGGCGGCAGCTTTGAGACAGTAATGCGGACGAAACGGTAACTCGAAAGACACTCGACAAAAAAGTTGTTTTATGGAATGAGTATTTATTCAATTTACTAAGATTGTATGTATTAGAAAAGTGTTTTATGAAAAGTTGTAACGTAACGAAGTTGATACAAATAGGTAAATTTCGTATCAAAGCAATATTAAGATTCTTTTTTGTTCTTCTGTGTTTCTTCGTATTACAAGCTTGTCACGTGAAACCTCAATGCCGCAGGTGGGTAAAAGGAACTGTGTGTGATTTACTGTTACGCTGTTGCCTACTTTGCGAATAAACGATACGTTATCGTTTTCACTAACTTTAATCAAACAACCAAAAGCACCAGCAGGAAAAGGAAAGTCAAAGTTCGATAAAAATGAAAGAGGAAACAAACGCTTATATCCGATGGAAAGTGAGTACACCAAATATACGAAAGTGCAGTCTACCGTGCAATCAGTCCGCAGCAAAGCTGGACCATAAAACTTGCAACAAACACTCATCCGCACACATACGCCAAATTTTATCATAAAACACAATCGCCAAACAGCATTCAGGCACGAACACAAAGATACACTTTCGGCTAATAAAATAAACTAATAAAATAACTTGCGTCCTTGGACGACCGCTGGTATGGGATGCCGGTAATATGGTCACTGGCCGCTTGCCGGTGCCAGGTAACACACGCAATTTCACATTGACACAGCGACAAAAGTAATACAATTTCACGAATTACGCTAAACGCCATAGCTCATACTGCAGCGCGCCAGTTAGGCTTTACACGCATTTGGCATGGCTGACGAATGCAAAATATCGGTCAAAATTATAAACTATCCATATACTGTGTTGTCGACTCAAGTTGGCACCCTTTTTTACAGTACAGCAAATCTATGCTATAAAGCTCTGTGCGCCGTGCAGGCGTGCACTTGAATTGCCCGCACAGTGGGAAACATACTTACAGGGCGGCTGGCAGCGACTGCCGCCAAAAAAACCCCTGTCCGTTAACAACGACAATTAGCATTTTAAAATTTGATAACTGGCAAAGATTGTTTGTTTTTTGCTGGGATATCTTTTTTTAACTAATATGACGAAACAGTATAGTTCTGAATTCGTGAAAAGCATCATGCTTAGTTTCCAGGCATCAGGTCTTTCTCCTCGCAAGTTTGCCAAATCTCAACCACATGTTTCGGAAACAACACTTCGACGGTGGATTTCGTGAGTTTTCATTTCATTTTTCACAGTAAGTATACTGACGTAAGAAAATGTTTCAGAGAATTGTGAAAAGGCATCCCTGTCGGTAAAGGGAAAAAGCGCAGACGACGCAGCGGTCGCGGTTTCCAGCACATCGATCCGCCTCTGACGAAATGGATACTCGAGCAGTTTGAAAAGGGCCTGTGTGTGACTAACGACATGATTAAAGAACATGCGCTGTTGTTAGCTTGTAATCCAGCGTTCAAGGCTTCTTAAGGATGGCTGGTGGATTTCAAAAAGCGAAATAAACTGGTCTATCGCGCAGCTACGCACATATCCCGCAAGCAGGGAATGACACGGGAGGATATTGTGAGTAAACGTAATTTTAAATTTTCCAGTAAATGTGAAGACAAACCAGTTGTCTGATAATTTATTGTGTATTATATTAGGAAGAGGAAGAACAGTATATCGATGCGATGATAGATTTGAACGCAGCGCTGGAGTGCGGTAGCGATGCGGGTGACCTGAAGCGGATCCTGAACATGGATCAGACGATGGTCCGGCTGGTTGCGCCTAAGCTTCACTCCGTAGTGCCCGTCGGCTCCAAGCAAGTGAGGTTAATTCGCCCACCAGGAGACAAAGAAGGTTTTACGGTCACATTGACAGTGTCGGCCGATGGTTCCCTGTTGCCGGCCGTTATTGTGTTCAAGGGTGCAGCAGAAACAGAAAAGCTTTCAGATGGGATAATGCGTTCGCTAAAGGCACCCACAAATATAATTATTGCAAGCTCAAAATCTGCGTGGTGGACTGAAGATTTGGACCATGAGTGGATCGGCACGACGTTTCCTTTTGACGGTCGCGTCAGGACCTTGATTCGCGATCAGTATACAGTCCACAAAATGGATTCTAGTGCCGAGATGCTGGAAGAGCGTAGTGTTTCGCAATTGTTAATTCCAGCTGGGCAGACCGGCCGCTACTCCGCATTGGATGTGGGAATAAATAAAGCGTTCAAAGCCTTCTATAAGACTGAATATGAGAAGTGGCGCCGAGAGCAAAATCCAAATAACTGCACCAAGTCCGGGTATCTCAAAAAGCCGAATCGTCAAGATTTTATCGATATGGTTTCGCGAGCAGCGTACAAAATTACTCCGGAATGTATAAAGAGTTCATTTCGTGCAGCGGGAATAATTACAGCAGAGAACTATGCTGAAATCGATGAAAATCATGTTCCTGATGAGCAACCCAGTGAACTGGAAATTAGCCTTTTCGATCCTCAGTTACTGAATGGAGAATAACGTCCTGTTGTTTTTTGCATATTCTTTCAAAGTGATGTTAGGTTTTCTTATGTTTGGGGTTTATTATGCAGAATTGATGATCGTTTATTTGTGTACAGAGTTCTGTTTTACGACGAATAAAGCGAAGTTCACGTAGCCATTCTTAATGGTCGGTCGTGTTTTGGCGGCAGTCGCTGCCAGCCGCCCT